TAATCAAATACTCCCTGACCTTTTATAATGTTAGGTATCCTTGTGGAAAATCCTCAGTGATTATCATTTTAATGAACTGATTTGGGCACTTAGTTTGAATCATTTGATGAACTCTAGTGAACCATTACACTGAGTCATACAGTGTGCTAAGAAATGGTTTGTGTAATAATGGCTCTTAAACCAAAAGCAACTATCATGTATTACTATAGTATGTGCTTAACCAAAACTACTCAGACCATATTATGGCTTAGGACAATATGAGAAACTTGGATAAATGTTTTTTTCCCTAGATTTCAAAATGGCATACAGTCACCCCCTCAGCTATTGATTTATTTATCCAAACCTTCATAGTTTATAAGGTTGTTGCAGCATTAATCTATAGGCATAGTAATACTGAATTACCTTGGAGCAAGTATGGCAAAAAGTCTCCTCACCTGGTTTGTAATAACCCAGCATTGCCTCTAGGCAACCAAGTGAAGAAACTATAAAATGCAGTTCTTTCTTTCTGCTTTGTATTGATCTGTTTGTAAGTTAGTTATGATTTGTTTATTTATGCTCATTATGAATAGTCCAAAATAGGCTAAGAAGACACAACACACTGATACCGAGAGCAATTCATAGAACAGCTTGCTTCCTAGGATTGTGGGTGATCCATCACTGGAAGTTTTCAAGAATAAACTAGATAACCATTTTTTTTGTAAAAGTTTTATTATTATTTTTACAATAACAGCCTTAGTGCCTAGTGTACAGAGTGTTGTCTTGGTTCATGAATATTTTTTTACAATCAATAATAGTTAATTAACAGTCAATAATAATTAATTTTTATATTTCCATAATTAGTATATCAATTGATAATATATTCCCTTGATCCTCTGTTCTCCCAATAGTATTCTCCTTCTTCAGCATTAAACGAATATAATTTTTGATATTTAATATTATCCATATATAAATGATTAAATAAAAACATTTTCTTCTATATTTATACCAACAATAATAGCATCCATATACAGCATTTTATTTCTTATCAACATGTTATGTTCGTAAAAATCATTAATTCACCATATGTCTTATTTTCATAAATCTTGTTTAAACTCTATTTCTCCATAATATTCAGACAATTCTTATCAATCATAATTTTCTTAATAATTAACATCTAAATATCCAAATTTTCCACTTAAATATATCATCCCAGTATTTTCATATTTCATATGTTATAGAAATAAATACTACTTATCTATCATAGCAGCTACCTATAACATCTTTTCTAATCAATGTATATTTCACTTCTATTTGTAAAAAATAATTAAATCACTATATATCCTTTTTTCAAAATTCTTATTAAGCCTAATTTCCCCACAATATTTCAGTCATTTGATTGGGGTGATATAAGGCTTCTGCCTTGAACAGGGGATTGGACTAGAACAGGCATGTCAAATTGCCGCCCTGCCGGATGCGTCACGACGAAACCGCCCCCCTCCCCATTGCCGGCAATGGGGAAAAAGTCACGATACATCGCGTGACGTCGTGACCCTTCCAGCCCTATGATTTTACAATATGTTTTATTTTGTATTGACTTAGTGTATTATGTGAGTCCAGCCATGCGCATTATGTATTTTTTAATCAATATTTTTACAATTGCTTTTTGAATGGTACTATGGAAGAAAGCAAACAAACTGTCAAGTATTTGAACATAAGGAATACAGATTGTTTGCTCAGTTTGTTTGTTAGATGTAACTGAATACAGTTCCCATTCTGGGTGTAATGGGCCAGGGAAGATTTTTATGTAAACAACTGAGCTATAATTCTTTCAAATTTCTGGATGTTACATGTACGGTAATACATGTACGGTAGTTTTCCATTTATGACCATTCATTTAGCAGCCATTCAAAGTTATGAAGGTGCTGGAAAAAATGACAACTAGTCCATTGGTCACGTGACCATGATTCAGATGCTTGGCAATCATTGCATATTTATGACAGTTGCAGCACCCCACAGTCATGTGGTTGCCATTTGTGACCTTCCCAGCTGGGCTTTCAACAAGTAAAGTCAGTGGGGAAGCTGGCAGAGAGGGTTGCAGATCACAGTTATGTGCTGTCTTGCTTAACAACCACAGTGATTTGCTGAACAACCACGGCAAGAGTTGTAAAATTGGGGGTGGTCACATGATGCCTCGTTTAATGACCACACCACTTCACGATTTTTTCTGGTCCCTATTGTGGTTGTAAGTCAAGGGCCTATTTACATCAGTGCAGTACGAAAGGGGAGTGGGACCTCTACATGTGTTGCTGAAATGCAACTTTAATCATCCTCACCTCAACGAGAATGGCTAATGGTAAAGGTTGCTGGAAGTTGTATTTCAAGAACATCTAGAACAGGGTCTTCAAACTTGGCCCTTTTATGACTTGTGGCAGTGATGGCAAACCTTTTAGAGACCGAGTGCCCAAACTGCAACCCAAAACCCACTTATGTATCGCCGGGTGGGTGCGGCCCACTCGGGCGCAGCTACAGTGGGCTTGGCAGACTGGGTGGGCATGGCCACTGGATGGGTGTGGCTGCAGTAGTCATGGCAGATTGGGTGGGCACGGCTGGGGTGGGCGTGGCCACCTCGTTGCTTATGGGGAGGGACACCTGTGGGAGCCGGGCAGGGTTGGGGGAGATCCAGGGGGTCTCTGGCGGGTGGGATGGTGGGCTCCCCAATGGCGGCTACAAGCTGGCTGGCCTTAGGCTAGTGATGGCGAACTTTTAGAGACCACATGTGCTGGGGCGATGGCGCGTGCCCACAGAGAGGCCTCCACGTGCCGCCTCTGGCACGCGTGCCATAGGTTCGCCACCACTGACTTGTGGACTTCAACTCCCAGAATTCCTCAGCCAACGTGCCTGGCTGAGGAATTCTGGGAGTTGAAGTCCACAAGTCATAAAAGGGCCAAGTTTGAAGACCCCCCATTCTAGAAGGTCATTTTTTCCCATCATTCTTTACACCTTATACAAGCTGCTTGAGGCAGGGCTTGTCTTGCTCTAAAAGATGTCACAGATACTGCATTGCTAAATAAAGTTACGGTAGTATTTAGTACAATTATTTATAAATACCTTTGTTGCCTGCTGAGATCTTCAAAGTATTGTACAGTTGAGAACAATAACATATTTTTCCTCCCCCCAAATCAACATATGGCATATCTGCAGGTAGTCCTCAACTTACGACCGTAATTGAACCCAGAATTACAGTTGTAAATTGTGCCAGTTGTTAAATGGGTTGCCATGTGACCACAGCTAATTTTATGACTTTTTTTTTGCAGTAGTTGTTGAACCCATTGTCTGCAATGGGTGTTTCCCCCCCCCCCCCAGAAATCAGACGTAAACCTTGATTTCTGGAGAAAAGAAATTCATAAATCATGATCATGTGACCCTGGGATGCTGCAGATGTCTGCAAATGTCAGCCAGTAGCTGAACACCCAAAATATAATCGCATGACCATGGGAGGGCAGCTGTCAGAACTTTGAGTCCTAAGTAGCCTGGGGGAGGTCCATCATAACTTTGAACAGTTGGTAAATGACCTTGGCGTAAGTCTAGGACTATCGTAGCTCTTCTGATTTGCTGCCAATTAGTCAAATTGTTTTTTGGCCAGATAGTTGGACTCTTTGTTTGGTATAGAGCCTGGTTCATACAACATTCTAGAACGGGCTGGATCCCTCCAGCAGGATATACCAAAACCAACTCAACCCTATTTCTCTTTGGTCTAACATGTTGTGCAAATCTAGATATTGGATCGAGCCATAGGACAAATCTTCTAGTATTAGGAGTAGTTAGTTATTTCAATAACTCTGGAAGCAAAGATATCTCTTTTCAGTTCTCTCTCATTGCTACTTAGTCACTTTTCTCCCCAGCAGTGATATGTCTGCTTAATGTTCCAGAAATACAATAATGGTCTTAAATTACAGGAACAGAGATTAAGTTTGAATGACAGGAAAACTTTCTAGCTGTAAGTGCAGTTCAAACAGCGGAAACAGTATCAGATTTCTAGAGAAGTAGAAAGTATATTCAAGCAGACGTTGTAGAGACAGCTCTAACACCTACAGTAGATGAGGGCTTTTCAACCTTTTCACCCATTGTACCACTTTTAGGATATGGCAACATCCGAGTACCACCAGTTGCCTAGCAAGGTGTCAAAAACTTGATGACCCCCACCCCCCAAAAAAGGAAAAAAGTGATGAAGTACAGGTAGTCCTCCACTTACAACAGTTCGCTTAGTGACTGTTTGAAGTTACAATGACACTGAAAAAAGTGCCCCCCAAGCCACAGCTGAGCAAGACACTTGCCTGCCCACCCAGCGGCGCTCTTCCTCCTGTCTGAGGTTTTCATTGTTGTGAGCATTTCTGTTGAGGATTGGCAGCGGGGGTGGGGTAGGGGGGTGTTTGGTTTTTATTCCCCCCGTCTGCTGGGTGGTTGCAGCAGGTTTTGGTCACTTCACATGACCTTGGGACACCGTGACAGTCATAAATATGAATCAGTTGCCAAGCATCTGAATGTAAATCACAAGACCCTGGAGATGCTGCAACATTCCAGCTGATCGGCGCTTCTTCTGGGCTCAGCAGAAGCGCCAGGATCCGCGCCGAGCTCCAGCTGGAGTCTGGCGCTGATCCTGGCGCTTCCGCTGAGCCCTGACAGCCCTGCAGCTCCAGCCATCACTCGCTCAGGCTTGTGCGGTGCTGCCACCGGTTCAGCTCATTCCCCTCCCCCAGTACCACTTTTCTAGGATGGTTGCGCACCACCTGCCAGGTGCCAGTGTACCACAGGTGGTACCCGTACCGCTGGTTGAAAAGCCCTGACCTAGATAGATTGTTTGCATTAACATACTGTAGTTCAGAAAATAAAGTGCTAAATAGAATTTAGAAGAGGTGATATTACATATGACTTTTGCACTGTGGATCAGCTGCTAACATCTGAGAAATAACGGTTGATATCTCATGGTTAATGTCCTTTCCTTTTCCACCCTAGGTCTATCAAGGTATTGTTACTGAAGATGACGGATTGGATTCCGATTTAACACCACTTCCAAGTTCCTGTCCACTTTTTTTTAAGTGGGGAAAACCCATTTAAAAATGGCAACTTTGCCAAGTACATCTGCTGGGCCTCCACCGTCACTCTCAGATCCAGGAGTGGCTGTGTGGGAGTGGCAGGATGAGTTTGGCAGGTGGAGGCCATACCGAAGCAGCGTGTGCAGCTACATTGAGCAATCTTTCCAGGTTCTCATGGTGAAAGGCCGGCGGTCACTGGGAACTTGGCCTGTCAATGGCAGCATATCCTTGGGACAGGCTGATTCAACTCTGGCTCCCTACATAATCGACATAGCGAGTCTCACCCAGTTCCGACAAGATACTGGTAAGAAGCAGCTGCATTATCTGCTGATGGATATAGTTTAATAGTGGACATACCCACCATGGTGTAGAGCAGGGGTAGGCAACCTTGGCTCTTTTATGACTCGTGGACTTCAACTCCCAGAATTCCTGAGCCAGCATGGCTGGCTCAGGAATTCTGGGAGTTGAAGTCCACGAGTCATAAAAGAGCTAAGGTTGCCTACCCCTGATGTAGAGCATTGTTTCTCAATGGTGACAGAGGGATTCTGGGAGTCCATACAGTTAAAGTTGCCTGGTTGAGAATCACAGCTGCAGAGCATTCTCTTCTAAAAGCACAGTCTGAAGTGCTGAGAAAGAGCTGTAAACCTGGATTAAATCTCATTTACTAGGTTGCCAATATTTTCTGGGCCTCAGGTTTTATTATTGAATACAGGAGAATAGCATCTCCCACAAAACAATTCTGACTTTATGATAGGGGCAGACTTTGTGTTTGTTCGTTTACACAGCAGACTAAGCCATAATGTGGCTTGTTTGCTTTTGACTTAGGTTAATATACGCACTGAGGAAATTATGGCTTGTTAAATCTTGGCTGCTGTGTGATGTGTGAACCTATTCTTGTTCTCAGGTAGCTATCTTCTGAGTATAGTGTTTTAAAATAGCTGATGGCCAACAGCTATCCTCAGGATATCAAACACTGATATCAAAGTAAACCAATGATAAAAAGATTCTGCATTTCTTTTAAAATGTGGGCATTCTATTTTTGCAGACTCCTTCCCTTCCTCCTCCCACAAAATAGAATGAGTTCTGTGGGGTTTTTTTTTTAATGCAGCCCATTAATCTCTACAGCACGTCAGATGGATTTTATAAAAATAAAACAACCATCTGCAAATCATCTGAAATACGCCCTGTGAAAAAGACAACTCTGGATTCTGCTTACCAGGCTTTCTGGCCTCTTCATAGGAAGTGAGAGAAAAATGACAGGAAACCACCTTTCCTGAGACAGAAGGAAGCAGCAGTTTATCTAGAAATGGAGCTTCTATTTAGAGTCTCAGTTGAGAGCAATGAAGAGCATAGCTCAATGAGGGAAGTGGGGGATGCTGGTAGCGTCTCTCGGTGTCCCCCTGTCTGTTCATTGCATCAGATGATGTCATTCCCATCCCCCACAGAGTAGCTTATACAGGTAGTCCTCGACTTACTTCGGTTGAAGTTAACAATAGCGCTGAAAAAACTGACTTATGGCCGTTTTTTGCACTTACGACTGTTGCAGCGTCCCAGTGATCACGTGATCAAAATTCTTGGCAACTGGCATGAATTTATGACGGTTGCAGTGTTCCGGGGACATGTGATCAGCTTTTGCAACCTTCTGACAAAGCAAAGTCAACGGGGAAACCAGGTTCACTTAACAACCATGTTACTAACTTAACAACTGCAGTGATTCACTTAACAGTTGTGGCAAGAACGGTCGTAAAATGGGGCAAAACTCACTTAACAATTGTCTTGTTTAGCAATGGAAATTTGGGGCTTCAGTTGTGGTTGTAAGTTGAGGACTACCTGTATAAGAAAAGTGGCTATGTTCTTTATGCTGAAGAATGTAATTATTTGTGACAGGTTTTGCTGCGTTTCAATCAGTCTTGACTTCTGGCAATTGCCTGGGCAAGTCCCTGCAGTTTTCTTGGCAAAATTTCAGATGTGGCTTGCCACTGCTTGCTTTCTAGGGCTAGGAGAGACTGACTGGTCCAAGCTGGCTTCTTGCTTACATTGGGATTAGAACTCATGGACTCCCAGGTTCTATACTGATACCTTAAACCTTTCAACAAACAGGCTTAATTTATGACAGTATTTAATGCTTAAAAATGAATATGTGCAGCACAGTTAAAAGACAGTTCCTGTCCTTAGTCTCCAGCTATAAATAACATGATACAAAGGGAAAAGGAAGGAGGGGAAAGTAAAATGAGCATTGTTATATTATATTGTATGTTTTTAAATAACAGATAGATAAGCAGTTAGCTTTTTATACAAAACAAGGTAAAACCCCTTGCTTTTCATATTGCCTTATCAATTCAAATACAATGGAAGTTGGCCAATTTCAAACTGGTCTTTAACTTTTGAACCTGACTTACAAAGAAGGGATCATACTAAGTTGGGTTGCCATGAATGCAAATGCTCCTTGATAGAACTTCTGGTATTTCTTCTGAAAAAATAATCAGATAGCAAGTGATTCAAAAGATTTTTCTATGTCTGATCTGCTGGAGGGACTACTGCAAAAATGAATGATCAAATAATGTATCCCGGCATTCTCATTTTATTCTCTTAATCTAATGTGAATGAGAAGTATCATAACAGTTAATACTCAGTTTCCTGGGCTATGCAAAACCCTTCTCTTACTGCTTTTACTTTTGACATCTAATTTTACTTCCTGGTTTGTTGTGGTTTTTTTCCCTCTAGGGACCATGCGAGCCGTGCGCAGACATGTCTTCCAGCTTGATTCGGCACCTGGACAGGGAGTAGTTTGGGAGTGGCAGAACAATGAAGGAAGCTGGTTTCCATATGAGATGAACGTTTGTGTATATTTGGAGCAAGCTTTCTCACTCAATAGCCCTCAGGTGGATCTTGGGCCCTTTGGTTACAATTATGGAATTGATTTCGTATCACTGACCCAGATGAATAAAACCACTGGGTACCAGCGAAGAATCCGTCGGTGTGTGGACTCTCCATACCCAGTAGCCACAGCCACGGGGCCTGTTCACATTGGGCCCACATGTTCATGCCAACAGTGCTTGTTGAATAGTGGAACTGGCCCCATAACCTCACGGTTTCGGCACTCAATGGTGAATCTTCCTGGACATTCAGCAGGAACGACTCCCAAATTCCTTACTGGTATACAGGGGGCCAATAGAAACTCAGGACTCGGTGCTTCTCTGGTGGGCTTTGTGCCTTACAATAAACCAGCCCTCTCTGGAGCAAGATCAATGCCAAGACTGAACGTGCAGAGCGCAGGGTCAGCATCGCAATCTGCAGTCATTGGTGGGTCCAGCTCAGCTCCCACAGCATCCAAAGGAACCAGGTATGCTTTCCTAAGGGATTTCCATTTTTGCTGGATGTTGCTGTCCTATCCATGAATAGGATTATTTATAGACTTACTTGCAGTATTTTTATCTTGCTTCTCAGACAGTTATTGACTCCCAGAAAGGCTCATATCAATAATAAAATTGAAGAGTCATCGTGCCATCAGGAATCAGATCCCTTATGCTCAGCTGTGGCTGTTTTATCATTGTTCCAGTGTCCTTTCTTTAAATAGCACTTGGTTGCTCTTGAGTCTTTGGCTAGTAGAAAAAGCCAATGGTCTGAAACTGCTGGGGTTTTTTGCTGGTGGATTGGAAAAAACTGCTTTGCCTCTTTTTCCAATATCATTCCAGAAAATGCAATTTCCCAGTGGCTCTACATCCTGATGGGAGAAGCAAAATTGCAAATTTCCTTTGGTTTCCAGGCCCAGGAAACCGCCACTGAAGTGAGTGAGTGTCCCAATGTTTCGGATTCATTATTTCATGAGATCTATAATGTTTACAAGTGCATTATAGAGAGTTGGAGGCTTTTATTACAGGCTAAATGTTATTGTCATTGTTGGTGCAGTAGTGATTGTTGATGCTGTGAGTGTAAATTAATACTGGACTTGACCAAATTAAATAATATTTACCTGACCGAAGGTGTAATTAATTTATGGAATTTGTTGTCCAGAGTCTTTGGTATTAATGATCAACTCAGGTGATATTTTGAAATGGAATAAATAAATTCATGTCACTTAATTGCCATGTGAAGCCCTGTTTTATATATTCTAAGGACTTAAATTACTTACATAATTTTGAATGTCTGAGCAATATCTGGCCATCCAGATTTAGAGATAGTGTTGAAACAGATAACCATTTGGTGGCATTCAAAAAGCTCAATAATACCTTTTTTCTTCAGCAATTTTTGTTTGGGTGGGAGGGAAATTGAGATTGACTAGTGAATACTGAATAGTAGAGAATTGATTCTAAATCCTTCCATTCTCCACCATTCAGTCAGAACTGAAGAAGCTTCTTGGATGAGAAGCAAAACATCTTCAAGGAAAAACAAAGAAAGTCCAGTTGCCTTTTGAAAAAGCACCTTTGATACAGATATGAATATTTTGTTCTCCAGAGATTTAACTTGTAGTTATGCATTGGATCTGAGAGCTGGTCATCCACTGTGCATTGGGATTCAGAATTTATTAACTTTTGAGTTTTTTTATATGTGACCTTCACTTGCAGGTTCTAAACAGAGAGCTGTTTTTGAAAGCAATGCTGACATTTCAGAACAAGATATAAGCTTAAGCCGAGGAAAGGGCTATTTCAACACCAGGAGACAGCATTAGACAGCTTCTGTTTCTATCTCCACATAACAGCATCCCATCGGAAGCATGTAATTACTTCTGTCTGGGCAAATCTAACGTACACAATTAGTAGAAATCTGAGAAGGAAAGCAACAGTAGCTCCCAATACTTGGGCTCTGCTAGTTTGCTTGCCTGCCTTTTCTTCTATCTATTTTTTTCAAATTAGAACATTTCTCATGTCTTTTCAGCTGGCCAAAACAGCTCCCTTTTGTGTAACCTGAAAGTACAAGGGATATATGTGTGGAAAGTGAAATAAATGAGATTGATTCAGAGTAAGTCATAGTGCTTATCCTAGGAGATTTGATTTTGTGTAGCTTATGGCAAGATATTAAAAAGAAGACTTTTAAGAAGACGAAACAAACACTTTGTGTTTATGTTTCTCAAACACAAAGTAATTCTCAAAAGAAGAGACAGTACCCATGCACACTAGATGAAGTGCTGACGCTCAGGTGGAAAAAATACCAAGGGATGCATAAAAACGACCAAATTGGTCAAGCCTTTCCAAAATGATAAAAATGGATTGCAACTGTAATTCAGAGCCATCATATAAAAATAGGTACTGTGCATGATGGATTTCCTGCCTGACTTCTTTTAGAATTCAAATTTAGCCAGTTGGTGTATATATAGATACCGTATATTCAAAAAGTGATTAGGGTTGTACCTATACAGTACTAAGAATTGTATGCAGCAGTGGAAGTGTTATAAATACCCTCTTAATGTCTGTCTCTCTAATAATAGTACTTACAAAACTTTGAACCTTTGCTCCTAGTTGCACTTGTGTGAATAAGGACGATAAAACCTTTGTGGAGCTATGAAAAGTATGTTTGCTGGACTACTGTTACAGAATGTACTTTATAATGAAAGGAAATACAGGTAGTCTTCAACTTAGGTCCACAATTAAGCCCAAGTTTTCTGTTGCTAAGTGAGACAGTTGTTAAGTGAGTTTTGTGCCACTTTACAACCTTTCTTGCCACAGTTGCTAAGTAAATCATTGCAGTTGTTAAGTAAAGTGGTTTTAAGTGAATTCCCCGTTGATTTTGCTTGTCAGAAGGTTGCAAAAAGTGATCACGTGACCCGGGGACATGCAACTATCATAAATCAGTTGCCAAGCATCTGAATTTTGATCACGTGATCATGGGGGAGGATGCTGCAATAGTTGTAAGTGTGAAAAACAGTGATAAGTTACTTTTTTCTGTGCCGTTGTAACTTTGAACGGCATGTTCAAACAAAATGTTGTAAGTCGAGGACTATCTGTACTGTTTTAATAGTAGTAATACTTTATTGTTTATCAGGCCATATTAGAATACCAAATATAAAATACAAAACAATAAGAAGATCTTATTTTCCAAAATATAATAAAAGAAAATACAAATAATAATTCTGCGTCACCACTACAATTTAACCCAATCAGATGCACATATACCGTTCTCAGTTGCACTATTTTGTTCAAGTAAAGGGCTTTATTGTTTGTAATTTTAAGGCATATGATATAATTTTAAGGCATATGATATAATGATTAAAATAAGGCATATTTTAAGGCATTTTAATATAATGATTCCAGGAGATTGTTAATCTAATGTGCTGTTCGATATGTTGATCTCTCTCTTTCTTATACAATTGACATTCAAATAATTGAATGTCCAATTGACTATGTCCTCTGTCTCTGGGGCTCCACAAATACAAGTACATTCATCTTAAGCGACTTGGTTAAATCTTCCAACTGCTCAAATCTCATTCAAGCAAAGACTCCCCTAAGAGGCTTGGATATTTTTATGTTTAAATAATTGGCAATGTGGAAGATGCCTTTATAGCGGCTCATCCATCTCAATGTGTTGGCCTTACTGGGAGTAACTATATCTCTATGAACTTCTGTGTCCACAATTCTTTGGACAGAAATCTTTTCACTTGGATAGGAAACAGGGAAATCACAGCTGTTGATAAAATTTATCAATCCAAGAAGTCTCTAATTGAGATTTTATCTGTTCTATCAGACTCAATTTTGTGAGTCTGTCAGTTTCCATAGCATTGATTTTGCACCAATAATTGAAGGCTCTGATTTTAGAGAAAGAACAAATTGTATAAATTCCCAATTCAGCTCTAACTGCAGTATCTAAAGTCCTTTTGTCCATACCCAAGAGACTTCTCAAACATTGGTTTGTTCTAATAATGATTTGTGTTTTAAGCCTCAAACTTCAGCTCCATATAAGAGCATAAGGGCAACCTTGATTAGGTATATCTTAATAATTGAAGCTAAGGAACCTGGATAGCAATGATTTATCAATTTTAACAGTGAATTTGCATGCGCTCTTGCTCTGAGTAAGCTGCTTTGATGATGATGGAGCCAAAATCCAATCTCAGAAAAGGCTACTGCTAAATAGGGAAAGGTGTTAACTTGCTCTATTGCAGGCATGTCAAACTGCCAGATGCGTCACACTGAAACCACACCCACCCCATTGCCGGCAATGGGAAAAAAGTCCAATATGTCGCGAGTTTGACATGCCTGCTCTATTGGCTCACATCTATTAAACATCTATGGCTGTGATGTCATTTTTTAAAAAAACATGATTTTTTACTTTGATTTATTAATAATCTGAGAATTATTGTGATAGTAAGAGCCAAATCTTCTTAACAACTCACGTAGTCCAACAAATAAATATGATAGTAAAATCATGTTGTCAGCATTTAGCAAAATGTTGCAATGTGTGTTGAAAGCCTTAGACATGTACACTTTAGGATCTTTCATCAGTCCTGGTAATTCTTTATTATATGCAGCCTGTTTTTAACACTTTTGTGAGTATTGATCCTACTTGTCATGGCTCCATTAACCGCAAGGTCCCCTCAAGCAAGTAGTTGTGTAAAGGGGTTTGATCCGTGTGAGCAGTCTGGATTCCATAGTCACTTTCCTCCATAATATTTCTGTGTTTAGTGTCTCAAATGCTGCTTTAAGGTCTATACAGGTAGTTCTCGACTTACAGCAGTTCACTTAGTGACCATTCAGAGTTACAAGGCACTGAAAAAACTGATTTATGACCGTTTTTCACAGTTACGAGATTTGTGGTATCGCCAGGATCATGTGATCAAAATTCAGATGCTTGGCAACGGTTCATACTTATGACTGTTGCTGTGTCTCAAAGTCATGTTTCAAGGAAAGTCAATGAGGAAGTCAGATTCACTTAACAACTGAGTTATTAACTTCTCAACTTCAGTGATTCACTTAACAACTATGGCAAGAAAATTTATAAAATGGAGCAAAACTCACTTAACAACTGTCTCACTTAACAACAGAAATTTGGCGCTCAATTGTAGTTGTTAAGTCCTCAAGCCCAGCAATTAGAAAATGAGAAGCATAGTCTGAGTTTATTGCCGCTATCAGTAACTGTTGATTCACTTTTGACAAGTGCTTTGTCTTGAACCATCTAATTACAAAATATGTCAGTAAGGGGAGATGCTGTTTGCTGCCTAAACACAGGCTATGCTTCTCATTTTCTGATTGCTGGGCTTGAGGACAAATAGGATCAGATTGAGGGCAGGTAACAAAAAGATGCCCCAATTCCTAGCTCCTGTGGGTGGAGTTGATTTGCAATAATGAATGGCAAGTTGTAAGTGAATCATTCCCTTAAGGGAAGGGGGTCAAGAGATTCAGTTGCAGCATAGATTTAACTGAGGGGTGTCCAACCTTGGCAACTTTTAAGACTTCTGGACTTCAACTCTCAGAATTTCCCAGCCAACCATGCAGTCTTAAAAAAGTTGCCAGGTGGGACACCCCTGATTTAATCATTTCAAGCTTGCTTAAAATCAATTGTTCCTCTAGCCCAGGGGTAGGCAACCTTGGCTCTTTTATGACTCGTGAACTTCAACTCCCAGAATTCCTGAGCCAGCATGGCTCAGCATGGAAACCTCTCCATTTCTCCTCAGCATGGCTGGCTCAGGAATTCTGGGAGTTGAAGTCCACGAGTCATAAAAGAGCCAAGGTTGCCTACCCCTGCGTCTAGGCCCTAGGGACAGAAGTGGCAACATCTTCCAAAAAGTCATCTGAAAACCTGTATCTTTCCTTTAATTAAAACTAAGGTATTTCTTTCCTGTGTTTATTCTGTTTTGACCTTGAAGGAGTTCTCCATTTTACAGATAGTGGATGGTTGTGATTAGGAGTTTTAGCGATTGTGTCATCCTCCCTCACTTGCTTGGCTCTTCTCCCAGAATTTAGCAAGGACTGGATACAGCTCTTGTAAAAAAAGCAGATATTGCTGGAATGTATAGAAAAACCTCCTTAAAAAGTTCTTGAGTTTGAAATGTATTGAGGGGAAAATAAACTGCCTTGAAAGTTAGCACTATTCTTTTAGAGATCCATGTTTGCTAAGAAACCAGGGGATTTCTGCAAGCTGTTGTGTGGTTTATGTGCAGCTTTGAAGTCAGTGTTGACTCCTGGCAATTCCTTGGACAAGTCCTTGCAGAGTTGAATCTCTTGGCTGTTTTATGCTTTTTAAAAGCAGATTCTGTTCCTCAAGTAGGTGGTCGGCTGAAAATCTCAGTTGAAAAAATAGCTCGCTAGGTTTTATTTCCTTTCAGGAGATTCATGCAGACACTGAAATGGTTAAAAAAAAAAGGCAGTTGACTTGTCCATCCAAATAATGGGTGGAGACAGACAAAACCGGGAAAGTCGAATACTGATTAGCCAATCAAGAGAGGGTTTCCCCTCCCAAGTGGGCTAATATAGGAAGGAGGGCTGCCGCCATTTCCCCCTCCCCCTGTGCTTTTGGTTTCTCTTTCTTTTTCTCTCTCGGCGCTTTCCCCCAAGTTTCCGAGAAGATGGCTGAAGGCCGGTAAGGATTAACAGCAGCAACAGCAATGAATGAATGAATGAATGAATGAATTTGGATAGGAAGTCGGAGTCAGTATAAGAGCTGAGATTTTATGGACTGGAAACTGTTCTGATTGTGCGTGCTGGTGAGAGATAGTTCTTCTCTTTCTCCCTTTTTCCTTTCCTTTCTCCAGATCTCTGGCCTTGCTTTTCATAATAAAGGTTTAAAAGTCTTATCAGAGGTTCTCATTTTGCCAAAGGGATCTAGCCTCTTCAGCATAGTCAAGACTATGGGAGGGTCAGAGGGAAATCGGTGGCAGAGAGGTTTTCTCAGGAGTAAAGTAACTGGTGGGGAGCTACTGGGTCCTTTTCTCCAGGAGTTGCAGGGAGGACTCAGCAGGATTGTGGGAGGAGGATTTGGAGGCCACTGGTAGCAATCAGTGGGGCCTAATCCTCCATATCCTGTTTGTGAAACCACCCCTGTAAAACCTCCAGTTTCTCATGCAGGATAATTTAGAAGTTGTGAGTGCTCTATCACCAGAGGCTTTTAAGAAGAGACTGGACTACCACTGCAGGGGGTTGGACTAGAAGACCTCCAAGGTCCCTTCCAACATTATTATTGTTGTTGTTGTTGATCATCATCGCACAGTCAGCCAGATGTTCAGACTGGATTTGGCATTTTGTCTACTTATCGAGTCCTTACCAGGGACCTGGGATAGGCAGATGTGGATGTTTGATGATTATTTATTTATTTATTTATTTATTTATTTATTTCTCTGGAATGGTAGGGTCTTTTGTTTAGGTGGAAGGTTGGACTGAGAACCTCCAGGATCCCTTCCAACTCTCTTATTCTGTTACGATCTGTTATTCTGTTATCTAAATTTTGTCTGTTTCAGAATTCAGCCAGCTTTGGGACAAAATGTGTGTTGCCCCAGTAAAGAACTTGATTTTTTTTTTTACCACTGTCCATAAAATTCTCATTTTATTTTCTTTTGTCTCCTCAGTGTACCAAAGTTACCAGTGACCATACCCAGGCCCAGCAAAGTGAATGAAGCTCTGGCAGGTAATGGCCACCATCTTTTTTTCTCATTCCACACAATCCTACCGTGTTTTACTTTGGGAAACTAGTAGCCCCAGTTCAAAGTCTGACTTTTTTATAATTTACCATTTGGTCTAGCACACCTTCTGGAATAAGGATGCTGACTATAATTTTTAAGCAATGATTAATCTAGGGTGAAGTCTTCAAAATGTCTTCATCTCAGGTGAATCTGTTTCTTAAGGGTTTCTGCATTTCCAGCAGCTGCATTTACTAAACAACCCCATCCTCTGACCTTTGGATTTGCCAGCTTACAATTAGACCATCATCTTGCATATTTTTTAATCTGCTCTTACTAGTCCTCATCTAGAACTATCTCTTCTGGGAGTTATCTAGGAGCTGATATTGCAGAGTTCTGCTCTACAACTGAATTATGGTATCTAGTCAGCGACTATTTTGTTGATCTACCCTTTTGAACTTTAGTTTGATTCATTTTTACTTATGTTAACCTGTTTTTAATTCTGCTTTTAATGTATGCTTTTATTTATGTATTTATATTATTTTACTATAATGTTGTAAACTGCCCAGAATCTCTTTGGTGATGTGGGCAATGTAGCAATTTAATAAATAACTGGTTCCTGCAAATATATAAATTACACATCCAGTTGCTTATTCTAAAACAGTAAATTAGTCTTTCTCACCACAGTTTTGTCTTAGGAAGGATCTTTTCCAGTCCTTTATCTTGAAAATCTGGGGACTAAACATAGTATTTGCATAAAACACTCTACTACAAGCTGACATTTGACATAGTAGAAAAGTGTGAGGCAAAAGGACACATAACTCTTGATTTATTTGCTCAGGATTTGCATTCCTGTTCTGGGGTTTTTAATTAATCTGGGATTTTCTGCAGCCAAAGCATTTTCTAATATTAGAAAATCCAGAGTCGGATATGTAAAAAAATCCTCATAAAGAGACTTTTTTTATTATATAGCAAGAATCACATGGACAAAGAAGGCGGCACTTGTGAAAAAAGGGTGTTCCTGATCCTTGGTGTCACATTCCTGTGCCTTGTTTTTCCTGTTTTGAGCTGCTGCATATATTTCATTTTTATGTCCTCATCAGATGATCAAGGGAGAAGCTATATGCCATAATTTCTATAAATCTCATAGTGATTATGGTTTGTTTAATGTACTTTTCACTGTAGCTAGAGTCTGCCTTAAACAGCTACAATCTTTACTACCGTAACTTGAAATAACCATAAACATTAAAGACAGGAATTGTATAGCTACATATTTTTTGTCTTTTTGCTTTTATTGCTAATGATCCCCCTTTTCTCCTGCTTTGATAAAATGGTTTTCTAATGTAGAGAAGCTTTGTTTTTACTGCTCTGAGTGGTATAACCTTCTATAAATGTTTGGAAAGTAACTCCCTATTTTATAGAATTGTAGGTCTATAAGATATCTTGGAAATCTTTTTATCCAAGCCTCTGATCAAGAATCAGGTCAAGAATCTTCAGACCCAGACAAATGGCTGTCCAAACATTTGATAATTAATAAAGCAATATTATAGGGATTGTTTTTAGATTTAGTGTTTTGAATTTCAAAAATGGGAGATAAGTCTAAGGAGGCCACCTGGGGATCTTTTACAGCAGGGAAAAACTCCCTGTAAAAATAGCTAAAATCAGGGTTTCTGCCTGTTCTTAGGCTCTCTCCACTTAGCATATGAATATGCCCAATTCCAGTCAATCTGATGGCAATTTATGCAATTGAATTCCCCCTATGAGGACTGATTTAGAAGCTGATTAGCTCTAGCAATTGTTTTAAAATGCTAGAGATGATCTATGATTAGGGCTTCTTTGGAAATTTAGTATGTCATAATGAAACCAATATCTTAGGAATCTTGGCATTCATATTTTAAAGAGCATGTTTATGATCTTTAGGGTTGAGGGCAATTCTTAGTGGGAGAAACGAAAATGGTGCCTGAATAAAATAACTAGTGCCTATGGGAAAGCACAGGGGTGGGTTTCCTTCTCACTAGGCCAGATAGAAAGTACTGGTATAATGAAATGCTGTATACAAATTACAATTAATAGTACACAGGAGCTACAAACTTTGGGAGCTACAAACTTTAAAATAAAGACTGCAGCATTTAAGAAAGCTTGCCCTTAAACAGCAGTGCTTGTCTCCCGGCTGATTTTTCTTTGTGGTAGCATATATGACAGATTATGTCCTGCAGAAATGCAAAGTATGCGCTGCTTTTCTCAGCAATCAGGCAGGTTTTACATATGAATGAGCTTTTTGCAGCTAAGATATTACAGAGAAGCTCACTCATATCTTGTTTCTCACAAGGGAGGGGAGGAAGGGCTTCAGTCAGTTACACATCAGGGAGACTTGAAACAGGATCATGTGCTCACCATGTCCCTAGTACGGTGATGGCGAACCTTTTAGAGACCGAGTGCCCAAACTGCAACTCAAAACCCATTTATGTATCGTCGGGTGCTGGGTGGATGTGGCTGATTGTGTAGGCATGGTCCATTGGGTGGATGTGGCTTTGGTGGTAACGGAAGACTGGGTGGGGCTAAAAAGTTCAATCAATCAATTCCAACTTTGCGAGAGATGTGAGAAGTTGAAATTGATTTATTTAACTTTTTTTTTTTTGCACAAGGTGGCGGAGGCCTAAAGCGAAAAGCCTAGGACTGGGGCGACGGCGCGTGTGCCCACAGAGAGGGCTCTGAGTGCCACTTGTGGCACCCGTGCCATAGGTTCGCCACCACAGGCCTAGTATTCTGTCTGCAGGAGCCTTCATCTGACCAAATCCTATATGGCAAGGATTGACAAACTTTTTTTCTTTTTATCTCTGGCTCTACTATACAGTAGCTCTTGTGCTCCTCTTCCTGTCATGAGATTTGGGCCAAAAAATACTTTATTTAAGAGAGACCTAAGGGAGACTTGGAAGTATAGGAGTGTTCTGTTATTAACTTGTGTAGTAATTGCTTTTCACACTCATAGGTTTTTAGAATAAGAAGGAATTAGAATATTTTTATAATATAACCACAAATTATTTTAGCCCAGTTTTCTCAATTTCTTTCCGCATGCTGTACTACTTTTGCATGAAGGAATATTATAAAAACAAAGGTTGACCTCTGAGCACAAAACTATAAAGACCGCTGCGTTCTCAAATAGTGATGCTATGTCTAGTCTACTTATTTACCCCCTTTTTACCATTGTTTCCTCTTATTTTACTCATCTCCAGCTCCACCAGCAGTCGGTATTGCTTTTACAACAAAGCACAGTTTTTGAATTCTGCCATAAAGCATATTTTCTCAGTTACCCATTCACTCTCTTCAATTGTAATTTTTGATGTATAGGCCGGTTTACAGAGCAGTTGAGGTCATTGTAGTATTGGCCCAGGTTCTTGGAAACCTTACTTAACTCTCACTCAAGATTTCTGCAGTGCTTGTAGACATTGCCCAGATGCTTTCCTAAGTATCTTCACATCCATAAAGAGAACAGAAATTCTGAAAGAAAAGTGAAATTCCTGGGAAGCATAGCTGATTTCTATGATTTTTCTGCACTTCCATATAGCCACATATAGCCTTAATGTCAGCAACTTAGAACTGTCTTAAATATCTGTGTATTTTTCACTATACTGTAACATCCAATAGCATGCATGCATGCATGTTATAAACAGATAGACTGGTTGCCTACCCCTGGACTAACTGAATGAATGAATTTGCAGTGAGGCAGCATTAGGCACCAGAAGTGTACATGAAGCTGCATCTCTGAAACATAAAAGGAGGTTGGTGTTTGTTTGGTTTTGCAACCTCTCTTATGTGTTTCTTTGCTATTGCATTTCTGGCTTGTTTGTGGTTAAAGGATATTCTGTGATGAATTGGTTGCACATAGCATGTAATATGCCAAAAGTCTGCTTGTGGTTTGTTGTAATTCAATCAACGATGTTTAAACACATAGTTTATCACAGGAATAGGCAACGTTTTGGTGATAGGGAGACCTGCAGAGAATTTTTGGCAGGGAAAAGGTTGCAGTGAACAGGATTTAGGGGGTCAGTTGCTGCTTTTCTGGAGGAGTTTAGATGTGATTTTGTTAGAACTATGTTATGTCACTTTGGCTTACACAGCAGTTTCTCATCTATTCCTAGGCTCAAAATGACAGGGAAATGCACTAGCAATTTTTAGCAGGCTTTAGAAGTCACAGAAAGTTTGAAAGTAGCATATGCCATAGGGAGGGGGAAATGGAAATGGCTATTATATACATTTGTGGGTCCACAGTTTTTGTTCTTCCATATTGCATACTAAGCTTCCTACTATAATTATTGTATAATGATATATACTAACCTTAAGGGCAAGAAGTTTTGGTCTTATGTGCTGTCAATGCAGCACTACTGAAGTCAAGCAAATTTGGCGGCAGTTTCTAAAGTCTGTATTTATAAACAGCTTTAATCCTAAATTGAACATAGGAGGTTTTTCTGTTTTCCTCAAGCAAAAAGAAAAGAGATGAAATGCTTTTTCTGAAGCAGGCAGTTGCTTGTGTGGCTTCACCCCATCCTTGTCTTTTCCAAATTTAAGAAAGAAAGAAAAAGAAAGAAAGAAAGAAAGAGAAGAAAAGAGCTTTTCATTGTGTCTGCATTCCCTTCCCTCAAAACCACCCTACCACCTCCCCCCCTGTAACGTGTTGCTTGCTTTCCTTTGGGGTTTGCTTTGCCACTTGTTTTTGAAATGAGCATTGAATCAGGTTCTCGAATCAAGAGTGACGGGTTTCTTTTTAATCTTACAAATGGTATGATGCAAATTTTCTTTCCACCCCTTTTCTCTTACCTGCCCTGTGCATGACTGTCTCATGTCCCTTGTAGGCATGATGGCCTTTCTGATGTCAGTCCCTGGATTTCCTGTGCACCTCGCCCAAGCGCCTCAGCCTGCCCGAGCCCATAGAGCCTCTAAAAAACTCTGCTCAGTTAAGGGAAGGAGGAGCGTGGGCACCAAAGGTAGCTCTCACTTGCTTGGACTCCGCGGGAGTCTTCTTCAGTTGTTGCTGCTGCTTCTGTTGCCACCTTTGCCTCCTCTTTCTCTTTTCTGCCCTGCCCTGCATTTTCCTCTTTCTTATTTTCTGACTTCTCCCAGAAACAGTTCGATGAAAATGCCTTTGGTTACTCTTTTCTACGAAGGCCAAGCTTTCCTGTTGCCCGAGAGTTTTGACACAATTCTGCTTTATACGCTGCTGCTTTGTAGCTCTTATTTTCCAGCGTCAGCACGATCATTTTAGCAGTTCAGAAGACCACACAGGTACCCAAGTAGAGAAGCCAAGCTGTGGCAAGGGTTTTTCCTACTCAATGGAGAAATGTGGTAAGGAGAAGATGTGGCAGAGTAGTGACTCTACAGGTGGTCCTTGCTTAACAACCACTCGTTCAGCAACCGTTCAAACTTGTTACGGCACTGAACGAGTGGTACTTACAACTAGTCTGTGGAGTTCTGACTCTTACAACATCCCCATGGTGCTGTGTTCACCATTTGCAACCTTCCTTGCCAGTTTCCAACAAGCCAAATCAATGAGAAAGCCAGCAGGAGGTTGCAAATGGCAACCACAGGACATCCTTGCTCAGGGGTAGGCAACCTTGGCTCTTTTATGACTCGTGGACTTCAACTCCCAGAATTCCTGAGCCAGCATGGCTCAGCTTGGAAACCTCTCCATTTCTCCTCAGCATGGCTGGCTCAGGAATTCTGGGAGTTGAAGTCCACAAGTCATAAAAGAGCCAAGGTTGCCTACCCCTGTCCTTGCTTAACAATTCCAGCTGCGAGTACTGGAATTGCCATTGATAAGCAGCACTGTCACGTGATTGTTTCGCTTAGCAATGTCAGTTCCAGTTCCTGTCATCAACCGAGGACTACCTGTATAGATAGACTACTAATGGACATTCACATTGCATTTTATTAAATTATGTCATTAATTTGTATATCTCTTCCATACAGTTGCAGCTTGAAGCAATTAAAGCAGAATTGTAAAAACAATGGGCAAAGATTTAAAAAATGGGGAAAAGGAAGGGTAAACTGTACATCCAACGTTTGTTCGTCAAAGGCATTGATGAAGAAACATGACAACTGAAGATTTGATCGATACTGGTTATATCCGGTATTAAAATGTTTTTAGGGTTTGTAATTTTTTGAACTTAACAATTTTAATTTTTCTTAATTAAAATCTTAAAAAGTAATTTTGCACCAGTCTTTGTAGAATCATCTTCATATGATTTATATACTTTCTTAATTAGCTACATGAATTAACCTGTGGATTCCTTATACACAACATCCAGTGATGGCCACTCACTTGGGTGGCTTTAGGGCAGTGTTTCTCAACCTTGACAATTTTAAGGCATGTGGACTTCAACTCCCAGAATTCCACAGCCAGCAATGCTGGCTGTGGAATTCTGGGAGTTGAAGTCCACATGCCTTAAAATTGTCAAGGTTGAGAAACACTGCTTTAGGGGATTGAATAAATTCATGGAAATCAGGATTGTCAAGGGCTATCAGCTCTGAATACTTGATGCTGACCCTAAAATAGGGATATTAATGCCTCAAAATACCACTTGCAAGGAAACAGTGGAAGAAGCTAACAAGATGGCTGCTTGTGAGTATGTCAGATGCTTTGGGTTAGCTCTTATGAGAAAGGGAGGAGGAGCACTGAAAGAGTTAGAAGAGTTGCTTGGAGAGATTAAAACTAAATAGCCATCCATATATTAATGGTTAATACAAGCAGCTGTAACAAACTGCATTGGGGGAAAAAAGATACTAACAGGCCCTGTGAGTCTCTGATTTCTGAACATATTACTGGCACTATGGCAGAACTGGATTTATTGGTCAGAAGTGTAATTTGGGACCTCTACTTTAAAGCCATGCTGCCACCTCTCCAAAATAATCAATTTAAAGTTCTTATACTGACATTAATCTTATCACTTAGCTCTTTTCCGTGGTTGGTGGCATGACAAATGGGGGATGGGTTTTAGGGGTATTATCTTCTGGGCCTTATTTATTCAAATCACCAGTTCCTAAAAAGTTTAAAACTTTAATAATTTGGTTTGAATGGGTTATATGAGATATCCAATTTAGAGAGATAGAACTCTGCTTGTTTACATAATAATTTACTTTGACACAAGGGCCACTAACTTCCCTTCCCAGCCCTTCCTTCTCAAAGCGGCCTTTCTGTCTCAAGTTCCCTTAGCTTTCTCCTCTTCTTTCCTTAAACAAAAGTGTCCAGTTAAAACATTTTTCCACATAGGCACAAGGCCAGTAGCCTACTATTTTGTCATAATTATATTGGCATTTTCTGGTCTTTGAAAATAAGCTGGTGGGGGATAAGAATATGTTTGTGGAAAACTACAGTACATTGTGTTTTTTTCTATCCCCATTAATCTGTGTTTATACTTAACAGCAGATCCTTATTTTTTTTTCTTATATGCAAACCACTATGTTGTAATTCACAAATCTGAAAACCTTCACATCAGCCAGGGGACAGGGTCTGCCTCCAGGCAGCTTGAAACATGTACATGCAGTCGCCCCACGTGACATCCAGAAGACCTCAAAACTGAGCAGAATTATTGTTTATATGTAAATGTCCAAACTTTCACAAGATTTCAAGTAGGAATGTAACAGTTCTGCAATCTCTTGAATTTTCATCCCTTTAATAGTTTTTTTTTTCATATGCCTACATTGGAGTCTTCCTTTGAAACTTAAGCAGGCTACTACCAGTGGTCCCTGAATCACAGCTTGGGATCCATTTTGCACTTGAAAGAATCCCTCTAGCCTACTTATGGTTGAACTTCCCTGGGTCTGCTGCTATCACATACTGTTGTTATTGGTTTTAGCATTCATGGCCTGATCTATGGAGCACTCCAAGAAGTGGTGCAGTTGCACTCTTCCTCCCCCCCCCAGCACTCTTCCTTTCCCCCCCCCAAGAAAACTATGCACGATTAGTTTAGTTAATCTAGAAAGCCTAATTTCTTACCTGTCTGTAAGGCCAGAGATAAGCATTTGTTTTAAACTATTTAATATCAGACAACCACAGAAAGAAAAACAGCATTCATTTTCACAATGCTCAGAACTGCCTTGTGAAATTACTTTGTTGAGATCTGTTCTAACAACTGCTGGAAAGTTTCCAGTATTTTTTTAAAGGCATCTAAAACATATTTCAACTTGTTAGCATTAAACTGGATGGTGGGATCATCCACTAACATGGTCATATCTTTTACAGAACATGTCCCACCTTTGTATGTGAGTTTAGAGAAAACTGAGTACAAACCTATTTATATTTTTTAAGAGTTATCTTACAGGGTTTTATTTTAGCTACTTTTATGTTTTGGAGATCATTATGCTGTTATAATTCTTGAATTCTTTTAAATTGCATAAACCTACAGGACAAGCACTTAGCTTGCATAATTGACCATTAATGTTTTTCGCTGTGTATGGGTTTTTTTAGTTTTTGTATGATCCCAGGAATTAGTCAGCCAATAAATTTAAATGAATAAAACCAGTTGATCACTTCCATCCAGTGACAGCATAAGGTTGGCTTCCAGCATTCAATGACACAATTGTGTGCAGAATGGCAGACCATAAGATGTACATAGGTGGACCAAAAGTTTTCTGTTTCATCCTGGGGTCTGTTAGTCACTTTCTAAAGTTTATTTTAAGATCTTTTATGTTTTTCACCTCAAAACTTTGCATCCCCAAATTAGTGATGGTTTCATGACTATGCTGTTCTTCAGTAGATTTCAAACACACATATGCATAATTGCTCTCCCTGATCAGTTCCTCAAACCCAGATAACCCTTGTGTGTTTGGAAGGAGGGATCTTGACTTCTCAGATCACTCTGTTGTTGAGAAAATTACCTACTACGTCCCTTCCTTGCCTTTTGACTTGTAGACTCAGGGTAGCTGCACAAATAACTTCAACCATTTTCTGAAATGAATAGGACATACATGTACAAAAGTGCTCTTTTTCTGACTGTAGATTTTCATTAAGGAAAGAAAAGTCATGGCAAGGACATTTGCAAAGCCTCTTCACCCTAAATGTTGTATATTAGATATGGACTTTAACTTCCAGAATTCCCCAGCCATCATGGAAATAAAATGGGAGGTAAATTTTGAAGTCTCCAAAGGCAAAACCAGCTTCAAAGTTTAACTCCATTTTATTTCCAAACTATATAATACACTAGAACGATGTTTCTCCACCTCAGCAACTTTTAACAGATATGGACTTCAATTCCCAGAATCCCCCAGCTTAAAATAAAATGACATCCTCAGCCATAGTTGATCTTCTAATTCTTTTTCCTGCCCATTTTATGCCTTTGCCTCTGCAGCAGTAGGAATGGCCATATTCCTTACTTGTGTACCATTAAAATACTGGCTGCTTTCAAATTAGCCATTCAAGAATGACTGTGCTGGATTAATTTTCTGGGAAAATCTCTTCCTTCTTCTTTGCCTGCCATCTTAACTTGCCTATGCCTCCTGCTGCTCCCCTTCACCTCTTTTCCCTCCTAGTGCCTTAGTGCAGAATGATATTCCCCTCTGGGATCTTTCTCTCTGTTTTTCTCCAGACAGCAAGACCAGGCCGGTAGAGGTTGTGAAGAAGTATTTGGAAGAGCTGAAGACACCTCCAGTTGATGAGGTATGTGGAAGAGATGCACATGAGCAGTTTATTTATCTACATTTCACATTTCTAAACCACCCATTTCCCTCAAAGAGCATTGCTGAGTGGGTCATAGAAACCTTCCTTAAAGCCAACCTTTGGCAATTTAACACCTTCCCAGGTGTCGATTGTAATTCTCATCATCCTCAACCAATGCAACACTGACCCTACTGGTTGACAACAATGGTGGTGTTATATTGTTCAAGCTTGTGTTCCCCTTCATTTGTGTATGGGGCAATCACCATGATTCTATCTTATCATTGGGCTTTGCTAGTTCTCATTGATGAGATTGGATCTTCTGGGACCATATATGCCAGTGTGTACAATCTATAGCAGCCTTATAAACAGCACTCTAAGCGGTTTACAGAGTTAGCACATTGCCTCCAACAATCTGGGTCCTCATTTTACTGTCCTCAGAAGGACTGACGGTTGAGTCAACCTTGAGCTGGTCAAGATCGAACTCCTGGCAATGGACAGACTAGGCATGGAATACTGCATTCTAACCATTGCGCCACCACCTCCTTGTAACCCTCTACAACATCTTTGAAATGTTCCAGCCACATTGTAATACGACAGAAAAAGAGAAATTAATCATATTAATAGTTCAGACTTTGAATTAAGTGTTAATCAAATTCAGTTTTCACTAGAACATTCTACATTAGCTTTCTGTGGCTTAACCTGGAAGCTTACTCTTTTGAAACAGAAGGCAGCTTTGACAACTTACATACACTCCTAAAATTCAGGATGCTTTGTACTGAATTCTCTATGAGTCTGATACCATTTTCTGTTTCAGCTGATGGGGATCCTTTTCAGTTTGGGGCAAAGGGTATTTCCCAATGCTAGCAGGTGTCATACATTATGCTAAGCTATAAATGTGCTTTGTTTCATTTGGGCTGAGTCTAGTGACTGGCTTGCTTGGCAAATGATTACAACAAATCACATTTAGTACTTTGTGTAACCCAGATAATATATGGTGATTCCTGTTGGATTTTCTTCATGCTGAATTGTGACCTGTCTTTAATCAATGCGTGATGCTGCCTTTGAACACATTACATAAAGGTTAATTCTCACTCCCTAGCCAGTTACGCATAACTGCATTTGGGAAGATGGTGTTGCTGCAAAAGGTTCATCTGTAAATTTGATCTGTTGTGGGACACCTGGGAAGCCTCACCTATCACAGGAGATGGCCATACTAAAATACTCTTGGTTGATCTCAAAGAGATCGTCGTAATTGAGCCTCTTTGGTTTTGTTTTTTGTGTTGTTTTTTTTTCTTTTTATTAAATTTTATTTAATATATAAAATACAAAGATAAATAGAAATGGGAGATTAAGGGAAGGAAAAGAAGAGGGGGAAAAGAAGGTGTGAGGTACAAGGGAAAAAAGGCCTCATTGGTTTTTGGATGCAAGACCACTTGGATATGCCTATGACATCAGGAGTAGAGTTGGACCTAGGGCAAGGGTAGGCAACCTTGGCTCTTTTATGACTCGTGGACTTCAACTCCCAGAATTCCTGAGCCAGGAATTTTTTGTTTGTTTGTTTTTAAACAGTCCTCCAATATGTCACTCCTTAAGTGACAATTGGGCCTGCCAATTCCTGCTTTTGCAAGAAAACTACACTTCTTTCAGCAAAATGTTTCCAACAATGTTATTTGTCCACATAGAAAGAGCAGGGAAGCATCCTTCCCTTAGAATTTGAGATACTTTTGCTTATGCATGTTCATGTTGGATTAGAAGACTTCAAAAGTCCCTCCCAACCCTATTCTATGTTCTAAAATCCTAGGAGAGAAGAAGCAGCCGGAGAAAATTTGAAGGAGGAAAATAGTCTATGGGGAAGAGTTTAAATGTTTCTTCTCTCCTAGAGCAAAATGACATCTGATTGTCTCACAAGATCCTTATCTGGAAGGGGATGGTTGGTTGTTATGATGTTGTTTTCAATCCCCTGAAGCAAAAATATGAAAGAACTGTTTATTTTGTAGGACTGCATCATCTGTATGGAAAAATTGGGTGCTCCTTCAGGATACGGTGATATCAGTGAGAGCAAGATGATCCAACCTGGAAGTGTGGGGAGACTGACCAAATGTGCCCATACCTTTCACGTACTTTGTGTGCTGGCCATGTACACCAGTGGCAACAAGGTACAGCAAGTGAGGAGGGGATTGGCTGTTGCTTGTCTTGCTTTGGAACACCAGGTGTGGATGCCACAGTAGCCAACCTCACTTAATGATAAACTTAGCAGTGTTGGCTATCTTCCTGTAGGGTTATTGAGCAGTGGAATCCAGAAACACTCATGTGATGAATAGAAGTTTAATTTTGGTGGCCATTAAGCAACCAGGACTAACATCTTCTGCCAGAGCTCCTGCAGGCATTAGAGAAAGGCAGACAATTCTCCATTTTTTGTAATACTTCATGTTGTGGCTTTGGGGCTAAAGCATTTCAGCAGACTCAGAATCTACAACTGGTAGATTCCATGGCAGTGAAAAAGAAATTTAAATAATGGATTTATCATTAAAAAAAGTGCAATAAAGCCACTTCATTAAAAGACTGTCACAGAGTTCCAACAGATTACCATAGTGGGCAAAATGAAAAGCTAAAGATAGTATCAGGTACACCTGATAACTGAGGAAAGGCATTCTGTGAGCAGTATCCATCTACCAGAAAAGTGTGTGTCATTTAAGCCACTCTTTTAAAATAGGAGGAACTATAGTAGGGGCCCTGAATAGATGGGCAAGCTGGAATGGGAATGGATGCTCCTTCAGGTTTCGTGGGAGAAGATATTTTATATAAGAATAGATGCAAGGGTGCTCACATGGGGTGTTTGCTACCCCTTGTCTATGAAATGGGCTCATCAAGACAAAAGTTCTTTTGCTCTACAGATTAAGAAGTAAGAAGGTGGCTTATTAGAAACAGCCATAGGTTGCCAAGGGCATCCAACATTTTGCGGACGTCCAGTTAGTGGGAAGCTTTATGCAATCCCGAACTTAAAAAGGGGGAGAGATTTCCAGAAATCTGTATTTTTCACAGCCCTTATTTTATACTCATTATAACATTGTTATAATATTCTATCAGGATGGCAGCTTACAGTGTCCCTCGTGTAAGGCCATCTATGGTGAGAAGACAGGCACACAACCCAGTGGCAAGATGGATATTTACAAACGCTCAGAGTCTCTTTCAGGGCACGAGAACTGTGGGTCAATACAGATTGCATACTATATCAACAGAGGCGTTCAGGTGAGTATGTTGTATGTACTAAACCTATCCTGAGGGGAGGGGCCTGATGGTAAAGCAAAGTTAGAAAGGTCGAGATGATGCTGTAGGCCAGGGGTAGGCAACCTCGGCTCTTTTATGACTCATGGACATGCTGACTCAGGAATTCTGGGAGTTGAGGTCCATGAGTCATAAAAGAGCCGAGGTTGCCTACCCCTGCTGTAGGCCTTGGAGAGCCATTGCATTTCAAAGTGGAAGCTACTTGGCTAGGTGGGAATGAGAAAGAATGAACAGATGGATTCCTTTCTTAGCAAATCTTCCTTCCAAGGTGCAGTGATAATTTCTTCCTGAAAAAATAATCCTAGAAATCACATAGGATGCACATCTTATGTATTATATCCCTGGTATACATAATGCTATGGTCCACAGCATTCCCATTAAAGGGCAGAACACTAGTGAAAAATGTTCTTTCACATGCTCCCCCGTGAAGCTAAATGCAACTTGGGAATCCTAATGGGGGTTTTGTTTCTCAAAAAAGTCTTTTCCAGATAAATCTAGAGTTGCTCTTTCGTTTCTCACAAAAAAAATGCACATCGCTACGTTTAAAGAATTTTATTATACTCTGAGCAGTTTATGTATGTCAGTTTGAAACACTTCTCCAATATTTGGGGTGTTTGCAATGGTCCTAAAAAGGGTGAAGAGGCATTAACCAGCACAGTTGGTACCCAATGGCTGAGTTTGCACTCTAAACTTAACCGGTAATAATTGATCATTTATTGTACAATGTGCTGAGCTAGTTTAGTTTGAACCTTGGCTTGCTTTTGATACCTTAATGTGTTCTACAGATGCTGCTTTTTATTAGAGTGTGGTTCAGCAAATTATGTGAATCTAGAACATTGATTAATTCAACAACTAAATTAAGTCTATTTTGTGCTCCAAGCCAGTGTGTACAAATGAGTGGATCTTCATATATAAATGTTCTCTGCCTTTATCTTTTCAGGGTCCAGAGCATCCCAGCCCAGGGCTGCCATACACTGCAAGAGGATTCCCACGATATTGTTACCTACCTGATAACGAGAAGGGACAAAAGGTACAGTGATGCTAAGATCTGTATCGTTAACCTGTTGCAGTAGAATAAAGAACGTGAAGTTAATTCTCCTTTTTTTCTGCACAATCAGTAGCTTAATTAAATGAAGACTATTAATGGTTGTTTAGTATTAATAATAATGATGATGATGATAAAGTTGGAAGGGACCTTGGAGGTCATCTAGTCCAACCCCCTGCTCAGGCAGGAAACCCTATACCATTTCGGACAAATGGCTGTCCAGTTTCTTCTTAAAAACTTCCAGTGTTGGAGCATTCACAGCTTCTGGAGGCAGGTTGTTCCATTGGTTAATTGCTCTAACTGTCAGGAAGTTTCTCCTTAGTTCTAAGTTGCTTCTCTCCTTGATCAGTTTCCATCCGTTGCTTCTCGTTCTGCCTTCAGGTGCCTTGGAGAATAGCTTGACTCCCTCTTCTTTGTGGCAGCCACTAATCATCTTTGTTGCTCTTCTCTGTACTCTTTCTAGAGTCTCAACATCTTTTTTACATCGTGGTGACCAAAAGTATTCCAAGTGTGGCCTTACCAAGGCCTTGTAAAGTGGTATTAATACTTCACGTGATAAAGGGCTTCCCAGAATTCTTGAGGAATTGATCTCCTTCAGCTATTCCCCTTGGCTTCTTGCAAAATTATTCTTTCTTTTCCGGGGATATTAGATGACACACACACAGAAAGATAGACAAAACACACACACCAGTTGCGGAAAGGGAGCGAAGCTTCTGCCACCATCTCAGAAAAAATGTCTATTTATTTATTTGGCATATTGCAAATCATATATGGCCTTGCCAGATATATTTAGCATTTCACCTAGATCAGGGCTAGGCAACCTTGGCTCTTTTATGACTCGTGGACTTCAACTCCCAGAATTCCTGAGCCAGCCATGCTGAGGGGAAAGGGAGAGGTTTCCAAGCTGAGCCATGCTGGCTCAGGGATTCTGGGTGTTGAAGTCCACCAGTCATGAAGGGGAAACGGAAGTCCACAAGTCATGAATTTTTCACCATTGAAAATTCAGCTTAAATCCAATTCTTCTGATTGAACTGCTTAATAAGAACAGTTCAACAATAGTGGCAGTTATTGAGCAGGTGGAGAGTTTCAGAAGCAGAAGTTGGAGAAGTCCTAGAGAGTGCACAATATGGTGATCTCAGAGACGTCTTCCAACTTTACACATGGAATGGAAGTAGAATTTAGATCTCAACAAAGTGAAGTGGGTAGATAAAAGGTTGGAGTCTTCTTCTGTGGAATGTGAGAAGCTTCATGTCAGCCTCTTTCTTTTCTCTCTAGGTGCTGGAACTTCTAAAGGTGGCGTGGAGAAGGCGTTTGATCTTCACTGTAGGAACATCTAGCACAACTGGCGAGAACAACACTGTGGTGTGGAATGAGATCCACCACAAGACAGAGATGACCTCTAATGTCTCAGGCCATGGCTACCCAGACCCTAACTACCTTGACAATGTGCTGGCTGAACTGGCAGCTCAAGGGGTCACAGAAGATTGCCTGAGTCCATGAGTTTAACCTCCCATCTTGGACTGGAGCTGCAGCCAAAAGTGGAGTTTGTCTTCTCCATGACTATAGGTGCCTCTTGGTTGAGGGTGGCAGCTACAAATCCCCACCTCTGTTGCCTTATGTTTGCTTGCCCTTTTGCTGAGCAATAACACAGTCTCTGGGATTGCCCAGCATGACTGTGAGGAGAGGGTTTATATATATATATATATATATAAAGAGATATTTTAAGGGCATTTACAGTCCTGATACAGGTTGGTCATATACAATAAATCTCCCTGTTCTAGATGAAATACATAAAAGGATGGTGGCTTAATCCTCATATTGTATTCTTCCATATGTGGTTGCGTGGGGGTTGAAGATAACACCAAGCGACTGGAAGTGAAGGAACACAATCTACCATTTGTTCCTTCTCAATTTCTATCAAGAATCAGATGCTGCTTTGAGGCAGATCTCTTGAAAGGGATGAGATTTCCCTACTTCAGTGCTTGAACAAAATCATGTTGTTTAGCAACAAAAGCAGCATTAGAATCTGAAGACATATAGCAACTTTCCACAATTTGCTGTCAGAGTTTGATAGAATATAGTTATGACTATTCCAAATAGTATCACAGTGGGCGGTAGCACATAGCAGCTTGGATTTTAAAAGAAAGCTGAGTAAGGTTGGACCTGATTCTTCTTGCATAAGTGGCTAGGATGAAGTCCCAGGTCTCTGCAAGCTGGTCTGGGAAGTTTTAAAAAAAAATCTTGAGAAGATCATTTCTGTTCTGCTACCAACGAAACTACTTGGATGTGGCCAGAAAGAATTGGGTTTGGCTTAGACTTTTTAGGTTTCTTTCTAGTCATTGCAAGAAAGAAAGAAGAAAAGGAATAAACGTTGTAATCCCACCGAAAAAATATCAGTTTGGAAGACCAATAGGGAGAATTATCAGTTTTATGTAAGGAATTGCATAAACCAAGTGTTTTGCAGATGGTATCTACAACTCCCCAAATAACATTCAAAAATTAATTCAAAATATATAAACGCAGCCACATGAGCCTTCTACTCATGCAAACTATTGGGCATTCTCTCCTGAAATTTTGTGAATTTCATATAGTTTGGTAAACTTAAATTTGTGATGATTTTTTTTTGCTGTTCTTTAGCACTGATATCACATACAACCACAACAGCAGTGACCCGCACTTGAGAACATTGCTAACTTCTGAGGCATTGCCCAGAATTCCAGAATTTTTCAGTATTGGTTACTTTTTTGTTATATCCATGCCCTGTAAAATAACCTTTCAGTATTCCCATTTTACAGATCTTGTGTGCCGTGTGCAGAGTCATCTAGCAAGATCACAGTTGGATATATGCTTAAATTTAGGGCTGCTTGCTACACCTTTAAGACTAAAACCCTGAAATAATTCTGCTTTATGTAATTGGAGAACTATTTTTTTTTACTGTATTAGTAAAAACTGGATTCTGTAAGTTGCATAAATTCTTCATATTGGATAACTCTATATTTTGCATAATCCACTGCTGCTTATTTAGTTCATCATGGACCGAAGTAAAGATTGAAGCAGAGTCCTGAAATACATTTTATACAGTTTCATTTGGGATTTCAGCTGTGTTGTTTGTTTGTTCGTTTTTTGTAAGTATTTTGACACAGATGTAACCAGGAGAAACTTTTTCCTAAAAGGAAGTTTCTGGAAAATTAAGTTTCTCAGAAATCTGAATTTAGTGATTAGTGCCATATTATGTACTAGTATAATTACAGAATTATAGCCCATAGTTATATAGGGTGATACAAGTGCTCCTTAACTTCAATTATTAAACAATGCAATCATTAGGTGAGTTTGTTATATAGGGTGATACAAGTGCTCCTTAACTTCAATTATTAAACAATGCAATCATTAGGTGAGTTGCATCAAACGCTGCAACTTTTTTGCAACGGTCATTAAATAAATCACACACCCGACTTCCCCTATTGACTTTGCCCGTTGGAGCCCCCCTGGGAAGTTCTCAGATGGCAAGACCCTCATGAGGCACAGTAATTACATGCTGGTTACCAAGCACCTGAATTTTGATCAAATAACTACAGGAATGCTGCAACAGTTGTAAGTGTGAGAACCTGTCATAAATCATTTAGCAACCACAGTGACTTAATGGCTAATTCTGGGCTCAATAACAGTTGTAAGTCGAGGTCTACTTGTAAGTGAAACAGTCCAGTGCAGTGGTCTTCAAACTTGGCAACTTTAAGACCTGTGGACTTCAACTCCCAGAATTCCTCAGCCAGCCAGGGCTGGCTGAGGAATTCTGGGAGTTGAAGTCCACAGGTCTTAAAGTTGCCAAGTTTGAAGACCCCTGCTCCAGTGTCTCACATTCCCATCTACGTGTTGAATTGGAAACATTTTGAACAGAATGAAACTCCCAATTCCTTTTTGTCACTAGCAGCTCTTCAAGCACCTTCCCCAACTCTCTTCTTCAGTCTAAACTGCTAACTTCAAAATGTTCAGACCCAAAAAGCATTTCCTGAGTTTTACATAGCAGTTCTGTGCTTATAACAACTTGATTTTGAAAAGCAGCATAAAAATAAAAACTCTTAGTCCAGGGGTAGGCAACCTTGGCTTTTAAGACTAGTGGACTTGAACTCCCAGAATTAGCTGACTCAGGAATTCTGGGAGTTGAAGTCCATGAGTCAAAAGCCGAGGTTGCCTAACCCTGCCTTAGTCTCTTGCTTGGAGCGTTTTGCTCAGTGAAATTGATTTGAAATAGATAACAACTGACTGGTAACCTGGGTCCTGCACTTTCCCATTTTTTAAAAAAATGATTAAAAAAATTTTTTTTTGAAGACATGAAGGAAGGGATTTCTAGTCCAAAGTTGTGGCATTGAGGAAAAAATGCTTGGGATCTACATTTAACATACACTCAGTAATCTTCAATCTGAGGACAAAAATTAGGGCCTTGACATTGCTTATCACTGTTTTTAAAAGCAATATTATCCATCTCTGTTATGTAACAATTTTCTTCCCACTCATCCTATACCAGTGGTGGCGAACTTATGGCACGGGTGCCAGAGGCGGCACTCGGAGCCCTCTCTGTGGGCACATGCACCGTTGCCCCAGCCTTGCCTCCCCCCGTGACCCCCTCCTCACCAGCAGCCCATGCGGAGCAGTGCAGTCAAAGACATGGCAGCCAGACAGTGTGTAGACAAGACTCTGCCCTCACACCCCATCGCGCACAGTTGATGCTGCGGGTGCAGGCAGAGGGCATGGCCGCTATGGTGCTGCTCGGTGATCTGTGGCGGGCCCTGGAGGCGGTGAGTGGTCCTGCGGGCAGGTGGGGTGGGGGCGGAGCGGGGGCGGGGTCAGTTTTTGGGCAGTCAGTCTCTAAAAGGTTTGCCATCACTGTCCTATAAGAATAAGCACCTTCCTGATTTTCTTAATTTATATTTAAAAGCAGTGCTTTTTTTGTTAAAAAAAAAAGTGCTGGAACTCACACACGTCATACAACCCACTTTGCCTACCCTACAAGATTCCATGCAAAAAAGGTGCCGGAACTCCGTTCTGGGCGTTCTATGACAAAAAAAGCCCTGTTTAAAAGTATAAGTAAATACATTTAAAGTAATGTCAAAAACAAGGGAGGGGTAAATTGACCTAACCTAGGTAAATTACAAAATTTGGAATGGTGGAATTTCTAAAATGGGTGTGGTACATACAATTAGGCAGGGGTCTTCAAACTTGGCCCTTTTATGACTTGTGGACTTCAACTCCCAGAATTCTTCAGTCAGGCACACTGGTTGAGGAATTCTGGAAGTTGAAGTCCACAAGTCATAAAAGGGCCAAGTTTGAAACCCCTACAATTAGGAATTGAAACAAAAAGGCTGTTTTACCAGAGCTGACCATTAGAGGGAAGTAAAGAGTCACACATGGGAAATCAGATCAGTCCTGCAAGGCATTTTTACATTCAAAAATAAAGAATCCTGCTTACCATATTGGAGAGAATCCTGGGTGGATTTTCTACTTTCGGCAATTCTAATTCCTGAAAATTGTCTTCCTCTTGGAACACATATACCAGTGCCAAGTTTGCATTTGGGAATAGTTTTAGAGATGAGCAACTTTTTGGCAAAGTCTCTGGATTTGATTTGGTTTCCACTTTTCTCTCCTGGTGCTTTTGTCAGTTACTCTATCTATGGAAACTCATATTTTGCTAAGGAGGTGGGGAGGGGAGATTAACTTAAATAAAAATAACAAAATGAGAAAAAATGCATTTTAAAGTGGAAAACAAACAAGCTTGCTCACATAACAAAAAGTACAACGTACGAACTTAAAATGGCTTATATATAAAACGAATACTTAGGATGTGATACCCTGGGTGAATTAGAATGGTCAAGAAAGATGGAAAGAAAATCACTTCAATTGTAACACATCAAAAATAAGCAGCACCTGCATGTATCTAAGTCTAAAATATATATCTCCAGAGTCAAGAGTCTTCCTCAAAGTAAGTGGCAATATGTCAATGAAGATTCTCAGTCATCCCGTTAAAAGTTGTCTGAAAGTTGAATCATGGCAACTGGACTTCCTTTATCATACTCAATACTCTAGTAACCACACACTACCATAGCTGCCGCTTCTCGACAACTTAGTTCCATACACATCACTTCAAAACCTTGTCTTAAGATTCAGGCCATATGTTCTTATGTTTTAGCTAAAATTACTAAAATGTAGGAAGCTTCCTGTTGATAAACGTGGGAAGAGAACAATGGGCTAAGCAAGTTTTTCATTGGCTGCAGCTTCCATCCTTTTCACAATCTGCACATTGGCCATCATTCAATCCCATAATTCCCTGTCAATTCTTCACTCCTGGATTAAGATCCATAAACTTCTTTGCCGCTACATAGAACTAAGTCCTCCAGTAGTAAATGAGCATCATGAGTTACTTCTACAGGCAAGGAAGCAAATGGAACTTAATCCAGGAGAGGAGAATTGATAAGAGAATGATGGAACTGAATGATGGCCCCGGTTTGAAGACTGGGTAGGGATTCTGGATACATACACACACTTGTGGGTTTCTGGAAATAACAGACTGGTCAGATGTTGGATTAAGCAACTACCCTCAGATTTAGAAAACCTTTATTTTGTTCTTATTAGTCATAATATATAGATAGTCCTCATCTAGCAACCGCCTCATTTAGCAACCGTTCATAGTTACAGTGTTGATGAAAAAGTAACTTTGCAACCAGCCCTCACATTTACAAATTTCACAGATCTGTAACACAAAGGAAAGCTGAAGTAAAATTGTGATGTTAATGATCTTACTTCAGCTTTCCTTTGCTTTATAGACCTGCAACGATCATAAGTGCAACAACTGGTCGTTACTTTTTCATCACTGTCATAATTGAACGATCACTAAATGAGGCAGTCACTAAATGAGGACTGCCTGTACTATGTAAGAGATGTTGAGTGTATAATAGGCAGACAAAATGCTGGTATGTGAAAACATTGGCCATAAAAATGGCTGTTCCCCACCCCAACAAAAATGTAAAAAAAAAGAGTCGGAAAAGCAAGGGCTACTAAATGTCTATGGAGATTCTCAGTCATCCAGGTCACGTGGACTGTCTTTGTTTTTCACTTTGGAGACGTTTCACTTCTCATCGAAGAAGCTTCTTCAGTTCAGAAGTGAAGAAGCTTCATGGATGAGAAGTGAAACGTCCAAAGAAAAGACAAAGTACAGCTGCCTTTGGCACAAGGCCTACTAACTACAATTTCCGACTTTCATACAGTATTGGAGACGCAGGGTCAATGGGCAGGAAATCAGATCTTCCTCTAGGCTGCTCAGAGAACTGAGCCATCACCTAGGCTGCTGTGTTCTGAGTGAGGAGGATGAGAAAGGAACAGGAGGAAGAAGGCTAGAGTATAAAGCAACCAACTGATGGGAGAGTTTACCTCAGAAATAGCTGCCAAAAGGCTTGGAAAAAGCAATTTGAAATGTTCAAAGAGATTCCACCTTAATGAACTCACTTTTAAGAAAGGCTGGAACATTCTCATTATTTCTATAATTTACTTCTAATTCTTGCAATAGCATTCTTTATTCAACTCGTTTGATTCTTGCTTCATTGATCGACCCGGAGCTGGATAGCTGACATTGCATGTTTCAAATTCCATTGTGCTTTTGGTTTCAGGTATGCATTACAAGTTGGCCCTTTATTTTCTCTCCACCCTAGCTAGTTCGTAAGGCTGGTTTCAGTGCTTCAGTCTTCCTTCCTCGTAGGACTTTTGGGAACAAGTGTTATGAGATGGAGCGAGGTGATCAATGGAGTTAAATTTGTGCAGTCACACTTGTCCAAATTGTCCCATGTTTGAATCTAAGCAAATTCAGAAAATCACAGACACACATTATACTGGTAGTTGTGTTCACACAACTTGCTTGCCTTGTTACTAAATTTAAGTTAGTAAACCAGTGGTGGCGAACCTATGGCACGCGTGCCAGAGGCGGCACTCAGAGCCCTCTCTGTGGGCACGTGCGCCATGCCCCGGAGATGGCAACCGTCCCTCTTCAACCAGTCGCCCGCTAACTCGCTGAGGTCCCACATGGCCTGATGCATCCCAGCA